GTGAATAGACATTGTTCTCATATATATATATATATATATATTGCACTTTTAAGTCCAACATATTAAAATATATATATTCTATTTTAAGGTGATTTAATAGTTAAAAATTTAAATTTTAAAATTTTATATTTGAATTTTGAATTAAGTGAAAAAGAATTTAAGAAAGGTAGAATATTTTCTCTTACATAACCTATTATTATTAAATATATAGAAATATGTATATTTTATATTTGCATTAATATTCTTTTAATTAATTGAATGAATAAAAAGAAAATTGATTGAAACTGATTAGGTAAAAATTACCCTTTTTACTTAAAATAATTGCTATTTTTTAATTTATTGTTATATGTTAAGGGTATAAAAATCTATCTGGTATAGCAGTTTAAGAGTAACAGTTAACAGTTTTACTCAAATCATTAAGAACATATATTTGATAAACTTGTTTATTTTGAACTCACCATAAATTAAGTACATGGTAAAATTTTTTATTTAGTGAGTTGAGATTAGTGAATAGCAATTTTGATTCAAATCGTTAACAAATTGAAAAAGTTATCTAAAGTAATTTTTTGTATTAAACTATTAGTAAATTAAAATTTTTTAATTTTATTAATAAATTTATCTTTTTCAATTTTTTAATTTTTAATCATGATTTTTAATTAATATTTATCTAATTAGTTTTAATTTTATTTTTTACCTTTAATAATATTAAATGATTATTATATTTTTATTTTTATATTAATTTATTAAAAAAATAAAATCCTCAAACGAAATATGAGGTTAGTGACAATTGATGCATTTAATGTAAAAAATTACATTGATAAAATAAATAATTAAAGTTTTGTGAACAGCTTGTTAAATTAGAAAAAATATAATTCTCTCATTTAGAAAGACTACCAAATAAGTTGGATGTAGCACCGAACCCTTCGGGTCAAATGGCAATAGCCAACTCACAGTGCACTCTCCATTCCCCTTGAGTTGAGGTTCGACCCACCCTTTATCAACCTGTTCAAAAAAAAAAAAATAGAAAAGAAAAACAAGTTGGATGTTGGTTAACTTTATTTCTCCTCGGCTTTTTCGTCCCACTCGGACGTGCTCATATATATATATATGAAAATTTTATTTTACAATTTGAATTGATTTAAATTATAAAATAAAAATTATTTGATGAGGAAAGGACTTTTAATATCAATATTAAGGGCTTAATTTAAGTTTTAATCTATTAACTATCACCTTGATTTCATTTTAGTCTAGAAATTATGTTTTATTTCTAAGTGATCTATTAACTTTCAGATTCATTTCAATTTCATCTACTTGGTCAAAGATAACGGAAAACTTCATATTCTGTTAGAGTACCGTTAGTCCTCTGACTATATTTTTTTGATCTTTTAGTCCTTACATTTATATTTTTTTATAAAAATAACTTTTTTACTTAAAATTATTATTTATAAGCTCTGATACTAGATTTTTATATGGGTTTTCCTATTTCTTTAATTTGGTATAAGAGCCTGAAAGTTAATAGACCACTTAGAAATAACAATTTTAAGTATAAAAATCTGGTATCAGAGCCTAAAAATAATAATTTTAAGTATACAAGCTATTTTTATAATAAATATAAA